GGAAGCTTCTAGCAGCTTCTCACAGAAGCCACCCCTGTAGCCCCCCTGCTACCAAAACCTTGCCACGCAAACCCAATACAGACATAGTTAGTATTCTTTTATTGTTAAAATAAAAACCTGTTCATCTTACAGTTACCTGGCAGAAGTAAATCAGCATGAGGTCTATACCCACCATGCTGAGGAAGACTTTAAAGAACCACAGTGTTCAATATGCCTTTGTTATCAGAATGTATCTGCTTACATGTTCAGTTTTAAGCATACATTAGCCCCATTGATTAATATGTTAAACTATAATTCTTACTTAATATTAATTTAATTAAAAAAAATTAAAAAAATTTCTGAAATGCATAGGCTGCCTTGTGATACTTAATTGGAAGCTACGAAGGTTTCAAAGAAATCCAAATGCAGAGGACAGTCTATGACAGGTATGTATTTCTAACATGTTTGTACACATTAGCAGAGCAGTCTTTTAAACACTTTTTTTAAAACATTGTCCTTGGTGTGAAACCTACCAACACCACTCAGTAAAAGAAATTCCCTCTCCAGAACGCTGTGTGAACTAAAACACCATCATTGCTGAAAGGGATATCAGATTTATTATGTGATGCCAAGGGAAGAGAATTTTGGGATTGTGCAAGACTTATGAGATGGTTAGTGGAAGGACCAAAGATGAGGAGGAATTAAAATGGATTAAGCAGGAAGATGTATGGGAAAGCAGAGGGAAAAGTGGAAAAAAGGAATGGTTGAGTGTAGACAGGTGGCTGGTCAGTACACTTCTCTGACTGAACCCTGCACTTGATGACCACAACCTATCCTGTATTTTTGTTCAATCCTATTTCTACCCTCTTTGTGTGCTTCCTACTCTGAGTACGTGCATGAATGCCAACAAATTTTAAGCTGGATGAATCAATAAGTAGGATAAGAGGTCTGCGTGCCAGCCACTGGAGTGGAAACATAAACCTTGGGAGCTCACGGGTGCAGATGCCACCAGCTCTGGAAGACTGGCATCTAGGGGGCAGCTAGCAGAGAAACTGTGCATCTAGGGCCTGCTACCTGACAGAACTCTATTCTCTGTGCATATATTTCATTAGCAGGCTTCATTTCTGATCAGCGGCGGAAGAGGAACAGGTTTGGGCCACATGTGCTGTTCGTGTTTGTGTCAATGCTATGTGTGTTTATGTGGGTGCCAATAACGGCACTAATTTCTGTCTGTGTTGATCAGTGTGGCTGGCCCTGTTAGCAGCATGTGTGTATGTGTGTGTGTGTGCCTCTGACTGTGTCTATTGGGAATACATCCAGCGATTACTGGTTTTGTTCACTGCTAATTCAGACATCAACAACTATTTTGATAAAACCAGTTTCATGCGACTTCTACTCACACAGCTAGGTTTGTGGTAGGAGGGAGGACCATACAGTGAACACCCCATCAATACACAAAAGAACCACTCAGAAGATAAGTCAACAACAACAACAACAAAGATTGTCTTGCATCCCTGTTCCCTGCAGAGAGGTTAAAAGTCTAAGATGAGTACCTTCTTCACAGGCAATGTATTAACCTACCTCAGAAGCAGCACTTGTCTGTCCAAGAGCTAATGACTCTGCAAGACCAGAAACATTCACCAAAAAACTCCAAATGAACTGAGGTGTGAAAAACCTGCTAATGTAAGTGAACTTAATTATAACCTCTTGCTTTAAACTTCCCCATGGTTTGGATACCAATGCAAGTGGCTAAAATATATATATTTTTTTAAAAGGGTTCTGGGGATAATAAAAATAGGTAAACAATTTTGTGCAACATAAATGTGGTAAAAGTATAAAAGTTTGCATCAGCAGACACATACCTAAATATGATACATTGGGGGAAGGAATCACAGTTTTTGTGCAAGTCACAAAACAAATCTTTTAGGATTATCCGAAGGAATCAATAAGCATGTGGACAACAGACAAAATCAGGTTGATACACTTCAATACTCAACAGACATTTAATAGCTCTTTTAACATAAGCTTTCAAGAAAAAAAGTAGAGGTAAGAAAAAAAAGTAGATATAGGGAAAAAAAGTGCTCACATGGATAAATGAAACAGAATACATGGACAATGAAGGGAGGTTACTGGAGGAGTCTCCATGATCTATGCAGTGGCTGTACTGCTCACATATTTATATGTGATCCAAAAAACAAATGCAAGTATTTACATGACAATATCTATCAATAACATTAAGGTACAAAGGACCAAATAATGAAGAACTGCAAGAAGATCTCACCACACTGAGCAACTAGGAAAGGATATAACAGAGGAAATTCATTGTACTTAACATAAAGTGATTCTCTACAATTCACAAAAATGAGCTGTGAGCTGACCATTTCCACTTAAGAACTGGACCATGGTGTTACAATAGACAGCTCTGTGAAAGCATGGCCTCAATAGAATTAGCAGCCAGAAAAAGATAATGTTCAGAGTAATTATGAAAGGAACATAATTTTGCTATTACATACACTTGATTGTGCCCTTGATTGTGAATGGTGCATGAAGTTCCAGTTCCTATGTCAAAAGAAAATGTAAAACTAGAAAAAGGTACACAGTAGGGTAATAAAAATGATCAAAAAGTATACAACTCTTTTCATATAAGGAATGATTAAATAGAACAGGAATTGGCTTGGAGAAAAACTCAGCTGAGGGTAATATGACAGAGGTCTGAAAGAGGAGGCAAATCAGCAACAATCATTCATCAGCTTTTTCAGTACAAGCACTAGGATGATCTCATTGTCTAAGAGGAACCAGATGAAACAAACTATCAAGGCTCAAACTAAAAGAAATCCCTTGCAAAAAAAAAAAAAAAAAAAAAAAAAAAAAAAAAAAGGGAGGGTTTTTAGGCACACATACCTTAACATGTGGAACTTCTTGCCAGAGGTTACAGCTCATGATAAAAGTTTCTGACTTTTTTTAACCCATATTTAAAATCCATGGAAGAAAAAAAAATCCAACCCAACAAAAACCAAAAACCCCCAAACCATTTGGGGCTAGTAAAGAAACCAACCCCTGCTCAAGGGGTCTGTGGTTTGAACCACAGAACAGATTCTGGTAGAATATTAATGGAAAGCATAATTAAATCCTCTGTTTTTTCTCATACTCTTCCTCAGACACCTCTATTGGTCACTGGATATCCAATGCTGTTAAAAGCAGACTGAGAGTACAGGCGAAGTTGGAATCCAGGAAACAGGCAGCCGTTTATAGTCAGTTACACTGTGTTTAAACCTCAGAACTACAGCATGCTTAAAGCAGATCAATTTGTTTTGCTGTTGTTGCTTCATCCCTGCTGCCTACTGGCTCCTCTCAGAACTTTTTCCCTCCTCAATCCTCAGAGCTCCCACCAGCAAGTTCTTGCACCAGAAAGGAAGCCACCTATTTTCAAGTACCATAAAATACAGGGGATGTGAGGCATGCCAGTGACCTTTTGGTTGAAAAACGGTGTACTAAGAACACACTTCAAACAGGACTTTAATTGGTTGAGACAGACGCAGTTCAGTATTGATTTAAATAATGTAACCCTCCAGCATATATAAGAACTAAGCAAGTATTATATATATGGATGCAAACATTAACTTTTTTATTTTCTGATAAACTCTGCATTCAGATCCTCTGGGTCTTCATATCTACCTCAAAATTCATTACTTAAGGAACAGGTGCTGTATAAAGATATAATTACTGTTGTAATACTTACTTTTTCTTTGTCCTCCAACAATGCATGATTTTTGGAGGTCAACACAACGCATTTCCATGCAGTTTTCTAGCAATCCACTGTGTCCACAGGTACAAATCTTGTAACAACCAACATCACCAGCTGAGGATGGAACCTGAATAAGTGTACCTTGACGGACAATAAAATCTGAGGCTTCTCCCAGTTTGCAACCTATATACAAGGAGAAATTTTAGCTCATATTTAGTAAATACTTTGGCAAGTGCAACTACCAAAAATAACTACTACTCTGACTTGTGAAAAAGCTAAGGTGTTCCTAAAGCAGCCTTGTTCTCATCCTTTAGACAAATTCACTCCCTTCATAGAGGCAGCAAGTAGCAGAAATAGAAGATACTTGCTTGAGACAATATTCTGAAGCACCTGTAGAAATGTCACTTCAGAGAAAAAGGCTGGTAATTCCAACAATTCTCAAGTAATCTTATTTTCCACAGTTCTGTAGTACTATGAAACGTATGTGATATAACAAATACCACATATGCTTCACTCTCTCCAATAGACAAACTGAATTAAAGTACAAGCAAAGCTGAGTCATTTCCCCTCTCTCACATATTTCATTGTGTCTTCCTTCCCTACTTGCACCTCTTATGTCAATACTGAAGGACACTTATAAGTAGACATGAAGAGAGGAGAAAGGGAGAAAAAGCAGGAAAACTGGATCTAAAAAAAGGAAAAGAATGGAAAAGAAGAAAAATGTTTTTAAAAATTGCACAGAAACAATAATAAAAGAAATAGTAGATTAAAATTACCCTAGAAGTTATAGAATCACAGAATGCTTTGGGTTGGAAGGGACCTTTAGAGGTCATCTAGCCCAACCCCCCTGCAGTGAGCAGGGACAGCTTTAACTGGATCAGGTTGCTCAGAGCCCCGTCCAACCTGACCTTGAATGTTTCTAGGGATGGGGCCTCCACTACCTCTCTGAGCAACCTGTTCCAGTGCTTCACCACCCTCACTGTAAAAAATTTCTTCCTTATAAACTGCAACAAAACCCTCAAAACTTTAAACCAATAAAAAGACTGAGTTCAAACATAAAAGTCATCTTCCAACCTTTAGAGGAAGTAAACTGTCTCTTCAAAAGTGCTGGTAAGCATGTTTTCAGATCAATTTGAATGACTTTTGCAGCAAGTGAAGACAATACAACCTCTATAGTAATAATGCTCAGCTCTTCAGAAAAACAAAAATACTTTGTAAGGGTCATAGAAACATAACCAAATCCCTAGGCTCACAAAAAGAATGAGCTGAAGTCTATCCTCACTTTTAGAAGAGCACAATTGTAGCAGATGTATGAGCGAAGAAAACCCCAGTTTTCTTCTTTGTAACTAAAAATCACTGGAGAAACTGCTGATCAGCCACAGAACTACTGGAACAAAAGAGGCTCAGGGAACTGATGTGAGACAGTTATGGCAATGTTCTGTATTCACTTCCTCTAGAAAGGAGGCTACTTCATGCAATTCAGTTTAAAAATCAGTGTGGCCCTCGTGCAAGCTTCAAGAACCATAGGTGATCCCTCATGCCACTGAATGATACCTTTTGCTTTAAGGGAAGGGGAAAAATTGTGGCAAGCACTACTGGTGTAGTGCCAACAAACACTGAAGGGGCTGTAGAAGTTGGACATCATACAGTCTCCCACCTCCTTTTGTAGATTTGACCCTTGTTATCAACACCATCCAAGCCTGCCATTTCAAAGTTAGATAGGTGAAACTCGTTCTACATGAGGCTCTCTCCCCAGTCAGCTCACATTTACTCATGGTGCAGAAGTTAGACAACACCTATGTTCTAAAAAAGTAGTTCCCACATGACCATGAATGCCTTTCTAGTGAGGTTCACCTACATTAAAAGTATCACTCATTGAAGCAGCAGCAGAAGTACAGTCAGCTGCGCACTGCTGCATCTCCAGACATCATCATCATTCCCTTGTGTAGCAGGATAGCTATGACTTAGTCACCATCACAGAAACCTGGTAGGATGACTCTCATGACTGGAGTGCTGCACTGGATGGTTATAAGGTCTTCAGAAGGGATAGGCAAGGAAGGAGAGGCAGTGGGGTGGCTCTGCATGTTAGGGAGTGTTTTGATTGTCTAGAGGTCAACAATTGTGATGATAAGGTCGAGTGCTTATGGGTAAGGATGAGGGGGAAGGCCAACAAGGCAGATGTCCGCTATAGACCACCCAACCAGGATGTAGATAGATGAAGCATTCTATAAGTGGCTGGCAGAAATCTCACAATCGCTAGCCCTTGTTCTCGTGGGGGACTTCAACTTGCCGGACATCTGCTGGAAATATAATACAGCAGAGAGGCAACAGTCTCGGAGGTTCCTAGAGTGTGTGGAAGATAACTTCCTGACGCAACTGGTAAGTGACCCTACCGGGAGAGGTGCCTCACTTGACCTGCTGTTTACAAACACAGAAGGACTCGTGGGAGATGTCGTGGTTGGAGGCCGTCTTGGACTTGGCAACCATGATATGATAAGAGTTTTCGATTCTTGGTGATGTAAAGAAGAGGGGCAGCAAAACTGTTACCATGGACTTCCAGAGGGCAGACTGGCCTGTTCAGGACACTGGTTGGGAAAGTCCCTTGGGAGGCAGTCCTGATGGGCAAAATGGTCCAGGAAGGCTGGGCGTTCTTCAAGAAGGAAGTCTTAAGGGCGCAGGAGCGGGCTGTCCCCGTGTGCCTTAAGACCAACCAGCGGGGAAGACGACTGGCCTTGGCTGAACAGGGAGCTTCTGCTGGGACTCAGGGAAAAAAG